ACAGGGAGAGCCATGCACAGACATAGACACGGACAGGGAGACCCACGTGCAGACACAGGCACGGACAGGGAGAGCCACGTGCACACACAGACACGCATGCACAGGGAGAGCCACGCACAGACACAGGCATGGACAGGGAGACCCACGCACAGACACAGGCACGCACAGGGAGACCCACGTGCAGACACAGACACGGACAGGGAGACCCACGCAGAGGACAGGACATACAGGACGCAGACACACTCAGGCATGCGCCCTGCCCACCCGGCATGCAGGACACGGCCAAGGGCATGAGGGCAAGTCCCCGATGTCTGCACTGTCTCCCTGCCATCCTTTCAGGTGTCTGTCCAGCTGACGCGGAAGCAAGGCCAGTGTCCCTGCGGGCCGGGCTCCGTGGAGCAGGGCTTCCCACTCAGCCCCCCAGGAGGTGAGTGCTCATCAGTGTCCCTAGCCCAGGGCTTGGTCTGCAGCGTCCTCCCTGCCCACCAGGGCCATGTCCGGCAGTCCCTCCCATCTGGGCCCGGACTCACTCCTGGACCAGCGGCGTCAGCAGCCCCCATGAGCAACCTTTGGCCTCGGGGGGCCGTTAGGGTCAGAAGGCACGAGTGGAGGATGGAGGTGCTACTGAGAGGAGGCACCAAGGCCCTGCCGTGGGGGAACAGGTGGAGACAGCCGTGTGACCAAGTGTGCCGAGCGAGGACTGGAAGGCCAGGGGCGTGTGCCCTGTGAAAGGGACCCAAGGGAGCTGCCTCACCTCGCCACCCGGTCTGCCTGTTCCCACGAGGGGCCTCCGACCCAGGAAGCAGCCCTGGCCTAACAGCACATCTGCTGGCACGGCTGTGGGCCTCTGTGACCCTCCCGAGGGTCACGGTGGTGCCCAGCCCTGGGAGGCCCGTCTGCTGCCCACTGCCCGTTCTGTCACTGCGGCCCGACGACCAGGTCAGACGTGGAGCGCACGGAGAAATGCAGCTGAGCCCGTGCCTCCTGTCAGATCCCAGACAGTTCGGGAAGGGCCAGGCTAGAAGTGCATGACTGTGGGCCAGCCAGTGGCATGGGGGTCATGGTGCTGGACCCCACAGGGCCAAGTGGGCGGCTCGAGTCCCGGACCCAGCAGCCTGGAAACATGCTGGCAGTGAGTGCATGCCCAGAATCCCGAGGCAAGGCGGAGGAGGGGTTGTGGAGTGGCCACCTCGCTCACTTGCTCTCTCCCTGGCCCTACACAGACCCCCTATTAAATTTTCACCAGGCAGATGGCCAGACCCGAGTCGCGGTCCTGCAGGGAGGACCACAGCCATGCACCGGAACCCACCTGCCGCGGTCAGCCCTGCGTACCGCCCCGTGCCCCCTGCTCATGTCGCAGACGCACACACCACAGAGCTGGCCTGGCCCAGGGGAGGCGGTCGCCATCGAGAACGCTCCTGTGGCCGGGGCTATGTGGACACTCAGGAGGCGGGGGCGTGGCCCCCAGGAGCATCCCTCCTCTCATGCTCGCTGCCGGCTCCTGCCTAGGCTGGCCCTGCTCAAACTGGAGAGGGAGCAGGAGCAGGGGTGGGCAGGGAGCTGGGGGACAGCGGGGTCAGGTGGGGCCACAGGTGCCTGTGCAGGACGATAGGACAGGAGACTGGCCAACCACCCTGCCTTGGGCACGGCCAGATGCAGTGGCCGGGCTAGGCCTGGCCCGGCAGGTGCTCACTCTGTCCAGGGAGCAGAGTCTGGGCACTCAGGGCCAGAGGAGGGTTTGTTCCTAGGAGGGGTCACTGTCCTGGGGAGCTTGCCTGCTCCCGGGGCTAGGGCTCGTTGCTGTGTGGGGGTCATGCCTGGGGTTCCTCAGTGCCATGGGGGGGCTTGCTCCCAGGGGGGCCTAACTGTTATGGGGG